TTTTCTCAATATTAATATCATTCATAATATAACTTATGTAATAACTATTATAAAACTGAGTAATATTTAATATTTATATAGAATTCAAGATTTCATGTTATAGTACTTTCTGATAAGCATCTTCAGTAAATCTTTGAAACTTATCTTCAAATCCTTTTGCTTCACAAATAATATATGGACCAATGAATCTTTTTTGTAGTCATACACTTAGAATTTCTATGTCTTTGAAAATCATTTAAAATTGCTTGTTCTAAACTTGTAGGATTACTTTTGTCAGAATGCTTAAGTGAATATTTAAGAATATGCAAACTGATTTGTCTTTTTTTTTTATACAGAAAATTTAGCAAAAATTTTATATTTTAAACTATATAAAAAGTCTTATATCTATTATATTACACAATTATAGTATAGTTAATCATGTAAATATCTGGTATACTATGTTAAATATCACTTATTAATAAATATTGATAATATGACTGATAAAAAATGGAGTGTAAAATTCTATTGATCAATTGTAATTAAAATATTACATAAGTGTATTTAAGAAGATAATGTTAATATAATAGGATTGGCAAAGTTATTGCATATGCAGAATATGGAGAATGTATACTTAGTACTATGGTCTGAACTTGGAACCAGACTAAGAGATGCATTTAAAGAGGATGTGCATTTAGCATTTACTAATTTTCATTCGAAGTTTCTATTAGTCAGAGTAGATCCTAATCTCCAATTAGATAAAATTGGTAGTACTATTTATCATGTGAGCTAGTATGGCTAATGGCTTATCACCTGAATATATAGTCATATTCTTTATTTACATGTACAAATAACTCTTCTTGAGTTTCTTTATTGAAAAACTAAAATAAATTCCATTGTTTAAGATTATAGGTGAGTGAATATCAGCCTGGCCAACTGATATTTGATATTACTTTGTAATTCATAGTTGAACTTCTCATAAATGGTTGTATCTGCTCTGTAAATCATAGTTGAGTGATGCATTTATTTCTAGTTCTCAATATGAATTAGACTTATTAGGAATTCCACTTGTGAATTGTTAACTCACATAAATACTTCTTTTAGTTTCTATTAGACCTATTATAAAGTATTTTTTCAGTAAAAAGATATTATACAAAAGCTGGATCTCTTGACTGATATTATTATCTAATAAAATTATCCAGAGATAACTGATATGTTTGTACAAGATACATCTAAATCCTATCATATAATTAAGACAGAATATTCATGTACCACTATAAGAAAACCCACTATAAGAAAATTTTGAAGACTCCTATACTCTTAATAGTAAATAATTTAGTTTAAAGCTTCTATTATATTATAATATCACATCATGTAATATTAATTAAATTATTGATTTCTTTGATTAAAATAAAAAAAGATATAATGTATAATAAAAATAATAACTGGCTCTATATTTCTTCTCAATAAGCTTCCATTAATATTAGAACATCATATCGCATAATAATATCAATCATAATTATCAATTTCTATAAAATAAAAAAAGATGTAAAAACTCTTGTTAAAAATAATAATAACGAATATGTTAAGAAATGATGTAACTTATTAAATATTACTATAATATTATTATTTTCTCATCAATAAAGTGGAATAGCGTAATATTTATATGTCTATAGAAAGAAAAATGTATAAATTATAATAATGATTAAGAACTAACAAAGAAAGAGAAAGAAAAAAATAATATTTGTTATCTATTATAGTTATACAATTAATTCTTGTGAAAAATCTCTTAACATGATCACTGACATGTCAACATCTGAAATTTTGCATTTCACATATCCTAAAAAATCATTATGTTATTATTATCTATAATTATTAATACTGAAAAGACTGATATGCCACTTGATATTGAAGTGATTTTTGATATCAATAAAGTGGCTGATATGGATATTAGTGATAATGAGCTTGATGACATGCTTGATCACATTCTGGATACGACAGATAGAGTTGGCCAGATATAGGAGATAGTAGATGATGATAATATAATGAATAAAGGATTACAAGAAATAAAGAGAGTTAAAATCTATTCTTTCTCAATAGCAGAATATAAGAAATGGATTAAAGATCTCAGAAAAGCAGGACTTAACTATGTTCTACATGAATATTGACAACAACCTAGTATGAGAAATAAAAATAAATGGACAGAACGATGGTAGTGTCATCATTATGGGATGTATAAGAGTGTTGTTAGAAAGAATTTCTGCAAGAAACCACAACCTGCACAAAAAGAAACAAAAAAATGTGGATGTAAAAGTTATATTCAAGTTGTACTCCCTATTAATTCTTCAACAGTAATCTTAAGATACTACTATAAACATAACAATCATTATCCTAATCGATTATCAGACTTGTATATACTTTCTCTTTCTAAAAATATTTGACAATTTATTTGACAATGTGCTCTGAAGGGACTTGACACTTATAGCATATAATGACTCTTGTGATACTGAGCAATTGAACTTTAGGATTAGATATAGTTATTAGAAAGAGAAGATTATAATAATAAAAAATCTTCAGATATTCAACTATTATGGGATGGGCTAATAACAAAAGATGATATTTACACAATTGTGCATGATATAATAAAAGTGTGTTTTTATCTTGATGAAGATGAGCTAAAGTTTCTGAATAAATGGCAGATGAAGTTGATTATTACAAATAGTTATTGTTTATTTAAGCGTGATGATAAAATGGTTGATATGGGATTTATATTTACTTTTCAAACAAAAAAATAAAAGGAATTAACACAACTTGCAAGAGTTATATATCTAGATGGTACATATGGATTAAATCAATACGGATACTATCTTTTTACATTTCTCATATAGCATTCAATAACAGGAAGTGAATATCCAGTTGCGTTTCTCATTAGCAAGTTCAAGAGATCTATTACATTAAAAAAATAGCTTAATTTCTTAAAAGCCAAATACGAGAAGTGAAGTTCAGATATTTTTATGGTTGACGATGTGGAGAAAGAAATTAAAGTAGTCAAGAAGTGCTTTCCTAATAGTACAGTTCTACTATACCATTTTCATGTACTGAGATCTTGGCACAGAAAATTGAATAATCACAATAGCACGAATGCTAATCCACATAAAACAATCATTTAGAAAGATCTTTGGTGATTGATAAAAATAGAAGATTGGAATGATAATAAAGCATAAAGATAAGTTATAGAGATAATTGATAAATGGCAGAAAATAGGTAATAAGATGATAAATGGCTTTGCTAATTATTTTGAATGTTGATAGAAGCCAAAATATGAGAAATGGATGGTGTATTTAAGAGAAATCATCAGAGATATGATAGATACAAATAATCTAATTGAGATATTTCATCATAAATTAAAATACGTATATATGAGAAAGTGACCAGGATGACAGTTGGATAGTGAAGTATATTTACTTATAGAAATTGTACTCTAAGACTTAAATTTCTCAGTTTTTTTGAATGAATTAAAAATTGGAAGAATGAATCCATGGCAATGACAACAGCAGATCTGGAAGATTGCAGGAACTATATATGTTAATGAAAATGATATTTATAATCTTAACTCAGATACTTGAATAGTGCATTCAATGACAAATGATGATATAGAGTATTCTATTTGAAAAAGAGATCTTACAGATAATTTGAATGTTACTTCATATATCTGCTCTTGTCATGATTTCTAAGTATGACAATTACCATGTAAATATATCTTTGCTATTCTGAGTTAATTCCAAGTTTATGATGATAGCATAGAGAATGACTAGCGTACTCAATATTAAATTACTGAGATAAATAATGTGACCACTGAGACCAGAAAGATAATTAATGAAATCATCAAGATTACTGAGATAAATAGTAAGATCACTGATATTAATAACAAGACCACTAAGATTAATGATAAGATCACCAAGATAAATAACAAGAATATCGAGACAAATGATAAGGATATGGAGTTTAAGAAGTTACAAGAAGAGTTTGGAGTAATTGCTGCAGAATGGAAAAATAAGGAGAAACAAGATATTCATAGTTTACGATTAACTATTCAACAAGCTATCCAAATGAAAAGGATTAGAATTGCAAAGACTGAAGCTACACTAAAAGTTGCTAGTGGTAATGAGCTAAAAAGCTCTAATATAACACCAAGAATGGGATTTAAAAGACAAAATAGATTTTGAAATCTTTATTTTGCTTTACATACTTTAATAAATTTACACTTTACACTGCATAACTCATTTTACTAGCCACTCTGATCCACATGATAAGTGGCGCCACCAATTTCATCCAATCGGAGATTGGGATCTACTCTGATCAATAGAAACTTCGGGTGAAAATTAGTAAATGCGTGCATTTAGGAAGGATGCATTTAGGAAGGTTTATCTGTACATTCCAATTTAATGATAACTAAATAGATTATATCAGATATTGCCCTCTTGGAAACGTTTAACTATCTCGAATGATAGAGTGCAAGTTGTCTACTTGATCAAAGGAACCATTACAAAACAATCTATTTTCCAGAACCAACAGACAATATTGAAATTAATAAATACGATATAGATATACATTAACCACAGATGATATACGAAAATAGGAAACCCCCGAACCTCCCAAGTTTTTTAGGAAAATGACAAGTACGAAAATAAAGAAACCCAACTGAATGTTCCTTCGATACTCTGGTCCGATCATTCGATCATGTGATTTCTCGATGTATAGGAAACCAAAATATGAGACACCGGACGATCACCATTCCAAATTCATAAGTTTCGAGCTACCGGAGCACCTCGATGCACGTGTTTTTAATTTGCAAAAGTCTTTGGTTTCTGGTCGACTACAGCCATATGACATATTGACAAAATTGTTTTTTATTACATGCTAATTTATTTATTGTTAAATAGACATTAATTATTTTCATTAAAATTATTTTTAGGTTAAGTTGATCGATTGAATTCTCGTCCGGATAGATAAAATCTTTTAATTCATAGATCAGATCTAATCCCAAAAGTTGGACCATACGGTTCAGTAGTAAGTGAAGTTAAGCCACCCTTTGGTTCACATGTATGTCGTCCGGTCTGTGGTCCAAGTTTAGGTATAATGCCATTCTTTAGTGAATCGAGAATTTTAATTGTTGTTTCTTTAGTGAGATCTTCCTATTAAATTTAATAACAGTTTTTTTATATAATATAGTAATTAATATTTCACTCTATATAAATAAATATATAACTTACATAATAATCATCATTCACGGTCAACACAGGAGCGTTTACACAAGCACCCGCACACTCTACTTCAACCAATGTAAAAAGATTATCAGGTGTCGTCTGTCCAACTTTAATTCCCAAGTGGTTCTCGATAGTTTTCAAAATTTCAGTCGATCCACATAACTGACATGGTGTGGTGGTGCAGAGTTGAAGAAAATACTTGCCAACTGGTTCCCTATGTATTATTATTCATCTTAATTAAATTTTTCAAAGATCAAACCGATAAAGATTTATTATGTCTCGTTTACCGGTTAAACATCGTATAAAACGTAGCAACCTCATATACCCTCATTGGTGGTATCTCGAGAAACTTTGCCACATAATTCATTACAGATATACTGGTCCAGCCGAACTGTCGCTGCGCTAAATGAAGTAGCGGTATCACAGCGGCTTTTTTGTACTGTGGTGGGTATTTAGCAATTATCGTTTCGGCGCGTTTCAGGTTCTCGGGTGTGAACTCAAACGGGACTGAAGGATTGTTTTCAGGAGTATCTCGATGCTTTAGAACCCGATTAGTTTAACGGTTTGAACAAAAACTTTTAATTAATCAAAAGTAAATACACACGATGAATAGTTTATCTGACTGACTCGACAATGAACTGTGTAAATTCCGTTTTGTAATGTATGTAAGCGAGCATTTTGATGTGCATAACTGTGGGACTATCAAGTTTTTTTGTGTTGTTAAAGGACTAATTCGCGAAAAAAATGCTCTTCTTGCAAAGTTCATTTTCTAAGCTAGATTTTTGATCTTAATCGAATCGTCATAAAAATATTCGGAATATTTTTAACCAATCATTTTTCGAAATTTGCCAGGACCTAGCCAATCATCTTATGATAAAATTTCTCAGCAGTGATCCAGGGCGAGAAATTTTAAAACTACGTCTTTTGAAAATAACCGGGAAAAGAAGATATGCTGTAAAAACGCCGTGGTTAACAGTACGATCGTTTCAGTATATTTTATTCGATGACTCGTTATTTATTAGGTGTGAGAAAACAAATGCAAGGCCGAGATACTAGTACAATTGCTAAAGCTGTAGTCAAACCTCAATTTAACAAAATCCTGGGTATAACAATTAAGGTTTGACTGTATTCTAAATCAACGTATGTTAAACACAGCAAATTTAGGTGGAAATTATAGTAAATTTATAGGCCTAGTTGTGACGTTGCAGATTTCGTGTGTTATTAAAACGACCTTTTTCTTATCCATCTAAAAAATTCGCATAACGATAATTGCGTTAACGTTAATCGTCTGAGACTCACCTACATTATTATCGTCGCAATTACTGTTGATCAATAATAAAATAAGACATTGTGTAAAATTCGTTTAGACAAGGTGATGTTCAAGTTTACACTTTCGTAATTGGCAATGAGTGTAAATTTATTTAAGAAATAAAATTAAAATACAATGTAAGGCATATGTATATATACGGATATAAAAATTATAATTGAAGATGATTAAAATACACAAAGAAAAAAGACAACACACAAAAATTTACATATATATATGTATTTTTTGAGAGCACCCCAAATTAACAAAACTATATATACATATGTATGTATGTATGTATCTATATAAAAGTATATACATATTATTCTTATTTGACCGTTCGTTCGATCCCTTGATAGTACCAGTTATATAAAATTTTTGTGTCTAGGCTGCGAGTAGGTGATGTATAACCAAGAGAAAGAACGAACGATATAAGTCTTTATATTCTCATCAAAATAATTTTTCTCGCAGTGGGAAACTAAATACAAAGGAAGGATATGTGTAGATGTATAAATGTACGTGTATATATGTAATATGTAAGTATGTAAATAATTACAAGCCTAAGATGAAGAAGGCAATAAAATATTAGTAAAAGTCGAGCGATAAATAATGTATAAATTTTGAACAAATAAAAAGATGTGACCTACCCAAAGTCCTCAATGTTCCATTAAATTTTAACAAATAAACTTTTTTAAATTTACCAAAGAGAAAAATATCCAATAGATAATGTTTATAAGCTGTTAATGTCATTAATTAATTGGTATACCACTCAACCGTTTCTGCTCGAAAGCTTTCAAGCTATCTACAATCTCAAGAAACGAGTCTCCGATATTGCGTCCATTCGATTGCTGATTTTGTGAAGATCGTTGTAACACCACACCAGAGATTCCATCATTATTACCTCCAAGTAGATCATGTTTATCATCATCATCCAAAAATGTATCCAAGTTCATGGAATTTTGTCCACTATTTCCAATCGTGGATGCTTCGCCTCCTACTAATTCGTGGAATTTTACAAAATCTTGTAAAAGATTAATGAGCGATTGGACTGAGTTTCCAGGGAGGCGCTGTATTTAAAAATAATAATGCTGAATTAAGAACTATTAATATTATTTGAATATTGACCATATCTTATTTATAAGAAGAAACAAATATAAATAAAAGGATATCAAGCACTAATTCTTGATTTTCTTTATTGTCTTTGATAAGCAAACCAATCAATATGGCCATATATGCAGCAACGATGTTGCTATCGGTCTATCCAATTAGAAAAGTTTGTCAATACACATTATATAAAAAATATTTATTTGATTCGAATTGAATTATAAAAAAAACCTTATCGTCTCCCTTCTCAATCTGATGGTTGTACAACGAAACTAGACACGATACTGCCGACTTACGAGAAGGACAAGTGCAAAGTCTTAAACAATTACGTGTACCAGGGCAATTTGGATTTTGTTCTTTTGATAAAGTTGATTATTTAGAAAATAGCAATAGTAGAAGTATAATGATTTGAAAGTTAATAAGAATTACCAATTTTCCGAAACTCGTCTTGACTGCCGGCATCTATTTCCACCAAGTTAATAAGCAACCCGATACTCAGCAAAAGCACATCAAATTTCGTAGCCTCAACACTTTCTTCTGATCCTTCTTCCTTTCCCATATTAATTTTGTCGTTTCCACCTATTGATTGTTTATACGGAAGTTGTCCTACAGTCGTCAAACGCATAAGAATCGCCATTCCAGGTGATTTACTCACGTCCCGGCAACATTGTTGATTATCATGGGTTAAATTTATTAGAACACGAAGGCAGCCAAGAAGACATTCCAAAGCTATGTATAAACAAAGAAAAATTATTTTAAACATATAAGAATAATGGCAATAAAAATTAACTAGTCTTGATACAAAACATACCTATCGACAGATTTTCAGCATTTAAGTTACATGATTCAAGGTGACAATACAGCAAAAACTCTAGTAACATTGGAAGAATGTCTTTTTCGTGATTCACGATTATGAGTTGATTCTCGGGACAAAAGGCTGTGACATTTTCCAATATTCCAAGACATTGCTCGACACGTTCAAAATTCAATGGTGATAACGACGATTTCTGTTTGATTTTTGATGTTTTCCCCTTTTCAAAGGCGAGTAACAATTTTTTGACTGGCGCAAGTTCGTCTTTGAGAATACGTGCCACTATCGATATACCATCACATGCTCTTATTCTCTTTTTTATAACATCTTCGTATCTCGTCTTATATAATATTAGAGACGACAAAGACCGTAACGCGATGGATTTCAGTGAAATCTTTTTTTGCAAATTGCGTTTGTGAGAAGATATAGCAGTTGATAATATACGATGAAATAATAAATTATCGACAAGAGACAAATAATTTCAAAAAATATACCTCCTTCTTGTCTGGAAAGATATCAGATCGACAAATGATTTCTTTTAATTCACCGATCTATTTTGTGAAATTTTATTTGATACATATTAACAACAATAATAAAAAATCAAATCAAGTACTGATTCTTACCATGGACTTTTCAGACTTTTTCCATGATGATTTTGAAATGTCATCACATAACGGATCTGACTGGTATGTCAAAAATTCAGCGACTAATCTTGTGAATTCTTCCTTGCTAGCAAAAAATTCGGCATTACGTCGGTCTTCGATCATTAGACAAACCACAAATGCAAAGCAGCATCTGATAAGCTATTAAAGTTAAAAAATAGTTTGTGAGAAAGTCAACGATTTAAGTCTATATAAACTGAATAAATAAAATAATTTACGAAATCATCCTGTGATACTAGGGTATCATATAGTTTCGGGATATAATGATGAGATCGAACTTTTGTCATAAATTCAGTCTTTAGCAGTTTTTGAGCGAGCACGAGTACACTTTAATAGATCAAAAACCATAATGTGAATCAATGCACGTGCAAGGAGAATTTGTGAAAGATTAAAGAATGCTTCTTACCTAGCTCTACGCACATTCACTGGTTGTGATTCTTGAATGCCATCGAGAATATATTCTATTTCGTCGGTGAATCGTTTGTTTTCACCCTGTTCTCGAAGTTCATGAATGCTTTTGAAGCTTTTCCTTTTCGATTCCTGTTGAAAGAAGAAAAGAATATATACATAAGAAATAATAGAATTAATTAAATCCAGAGACTGAGGAACACATACCAACTCTATTTCCATCTCACTATCGTCATCATATTTCGATGCTGAATAAGAATCCGTAAGGAAAGAATCAAAATCTTGGCTAAGTATTGTTCTAGTTTTACCATAAGTGAAACGAACACCACCAGCACGGCTATTTCCGTTATATGATGAGGAAGGTGGTAGCGACATGTCCATTATATTGTTATTGGTGGTAGTTTATTGTTTTCGTTAGTTTGCACTGTAATAATTGATTTCATGAAGCAGAAAAAATAAAAGGTAGTTTGAATGAGTGACAATTTTTCGAACTAGGAACGCCACGTGAAGGATTAATTTAACTGTTACGGTTAATTGCGTGTGTGGTGTGGTAATTATTTTGAATCATTTTGACAAATTAATTTCCATATCAGACAAATTATTAGTGATAAAAGTATGTTTGATGATCATCTATTCACTTCGCGCAAGAAATTACATGAAGCATGTAAAAAGCTAAAAAGATTGCGTTCTGCAAGCATGATAAGAGGGATTATTTTTTCATGTTAAAAGAAATAAACAACTTTTGTTTTTATTACTTGTTGGATTAAGCTTTTTAAGACAGCTTTTATTACTGATATATTAACTTTTATCACTGATGGGTTCAGTTTAAAATAAATTTTGTATTTCATATCAAAAATTCAAAATGACGTGTTAAAGGTATGCTCATTCATCAGGTTAAAAATTAAAGTCGCTTTTAAATTTTACGTCATTCTTGGCGCATCAAAATAATATCAAGAGAACAATTCATTATTTTCAACAATTCTACATGCTCCTAATATAATTACTGAGGAGGCAAGAGTTCCGCTATGTGATATTGTCTATTTACATACATTTCCTCGATGATTAAAATATAATTTATCTAGTGGCAGAAAGTTACAAATGTGGAATGTTTCTTCGGTGATTATTATATTATTTTTATAATTGTAAGAAATTTCACGTGATGTGCTAAACAAGGAAACAGGCTTATTTTTTGGTAAAAATATCATGGTTATTAAACGAATAATAAAACCAGTAGTGTATGTCATGTTCGAAATGAGGATGATGATTCTTCGGTAGCTGTCGCGTCCAACGCACTAAGGAAATCCAAGAGTTTGGTGGTTTCCCATGATTGTAGGAAATGTGCGTGCGCCAGAAACGGGAGTTTCCGCAGAACGCGGCCACTCATTCCCTAAGAATTAAATTGAATAATACAATAAATCAAAAAATAAATATTTCAATTAACCAGATAATTGAATTACGCCCACCTGACACTTTTTCGATATTTCAAATAACTTCATACTCGGAATCACTTCGTGGTTACTCGTTGCGTCGCGGTATAGTTCTGCGGCTCGCCAATCGAGTAATGTTTCCTTTATTTTTGGTTATTTTTCTTCTTTCGGATTAGTACTTTTAAAGTGCGTGTGATTAGATCTTATTATCGGATAAAGAAATCACCTCTGTACTAATAATCCCAACACGAATCAATTCTTGTATGCAGCTTGAGAGAATAGTGTATATGGCTTTTTGTGATGGCAGCCCGATAAACTGCTTTATATCTGCACGGTCGATAAACGCGACGTCTAATTCAAATTAATTAAATCCAGTCAAAAAATATGTTTCAACATAATAAAATTTGTATACATATCACATACCTATCGCCTCAGTGATATTTGATGTCGCTAATATCAAGACATTTTTCTTGTGTCTCAGTTTATCTATTTGTGTTAACAACGCGTTTACTACCTACAGGTATAGATATATACATATTACTACAAGTTAGAATTAGTAGAAAAAACGATTTTACTCACCCTAACAGCATCCGATGGATCTGACCCAGATAACGAAGATTTCCGTGAAGCGGTCAGACTTTCTATTTCATCTATAATTAATTTAAAATATATTATTTTTTTCTAGTAAATTAAAATGAACGTCATATAGAAGATTAATATTATACCACACGAACCTATCAACACACACACAAAACAATCCTCTTCATCGATCATATCCTGGATCTGCTGAAAAAGCTTTTGCACCAGTTTTCCGGATTCGGAAAACCATTTTGAGAATAGACTGTGGCTGTTTATCTCGAGAAGTTTTCCATAAGTGTACCTTTCAATCAAATTCTCATAAATATGGAATGGGAAATAAGCTAAAATGAATCTACATATGCTATCGATTACCTTTTAGACAACCGAATCGCCAATTTTTGCGCAAAAGCACGACAGAGACTGGTTTTTCCTGTTCCTGGAGGTCCATGTAATAAGACAACTCTACATAAAATTAGTTAATCAACAAAATAATTTAATATATTAATTTGGATAGCACAGTCATAGACCTAATATTTGATACATGTACCGATGATAATCAAATTACCTATTCCAGGAGATAATATTAGGATTGATATTGCGATCGGAGAATAACACCGTGGTTGAGATATACTCAATCAATCGCGTTTTCACATTATTGTCAAATATAAGACTGTATTTGTTATTTGTGTTATGTCATTAATGAATTGTTACATGAGAAGAGAAAAAGATATATTATATTATTTAACTTACTTATCCCATAATCCTTCCAAGGCTCGCGATGGCAATTCCCAATGATGTGCAGTCAACACGTTTTCTTCTTCCTGGAATTCATCAACCGCACCCTCCTCCTCCAATTGGTACACGTGAATAGCCAAGTTCACATCATCAAGAATATAAATCGCTTCACTATCATCTATTAATTATTATTTGTTACATTACTATAGGAATTAAAAAGATCGACAGTAAAAATATTCAAGTCAATAAATTCGTCAAAAATATACCATCACCACTACCCCCAGCCTCTGCAATCTTCATACTTTCGACATGTTCACCCAACAATGGGATATCATAAAAGTCTGTGATTTCCGAGTAGCATAATACTGAAGACTTAAATTCTCGTAGAAATTTTTCAACACTTTCTTGAATTACTTCGTTTCTGGCTGTGCTTTGTGTCTTTAAACAACACTCTACTATAGATAAAAGGTTTTACACATACAGATATGTGCGTGTTTATATGAAATAATTCGATAATGACAACTTTTAAATAAAAACCATGTAAAACCGGTTTTGAACGTAATGAATTTGTCACTGTTGAGTTATTGTTGGATTTAGTTGGCTGGATATCCATATCAAAAGATTCCATTTTTTTCTAATGACTATAAGACGCGAGTTCATCGTAAATCTTTGCATTAAATAATTGTGACACGCGATTTTAGATTTTTTGAACATGACTGAAGATTCATTACATGCAATTATAGGAATTCACGAGTCTTACACTCGTTCTCTAATACTGGAAACTCTTAAAATAAATTTTCCCAATATACAAATTAACATAATATCACCCAACAACGCTTCTTTCCGCACCAACAAAACTATTAGCTCGCCAACTTTTTACTGGCTCGAATACGAAGACATCGACTTTGAACAACTTTACGACAATTCCAAAATAACCCTCGCGAATTCATATTGCATACGAAAAGGTCTTATCCGGAAAGCTCAACTAAACTTTAACCTTAATAAATACATTAGCAAACGTCCGAACTGTAGCTTAGTGCGCGCAGTCCCAGAAACGTGGGTTTTTGAGGTGGCTCACGTGGATTATTTTGATGAGGCACTTGACGATGTGTTTGAAGTTGTGACAGAGTGTGAGGCGAATAAACAGATTGAAAATTTCGAGGGAAAACATGTATTTATTCTGAAGCCGAATTTAGGGAATAAGGCTGCAAGTGTACTCGTATTCGATAGTATCGAACAATTACGCGCAGTATTTGAAGTTAAGAATAATGGCAACGATATTGGAGAACAGGGCGAAGAAGAAAAAGAGGACGAGGACGAGGAGGAAGATGAAAGCATGTTTCATCTTCGCGAATGGGTTATACAACGATACATATCAAATCCATTCTTGATCAATAATCGAAAATTTCATATACGCGCCTATGTTCTCGCAGTTTCAAATATCAAAGTTTATTTGTATAAAGATATGCTGGCTTTATTTGCACTTTTACCTTACATTCCTAATGAAATACAAAATACTTTTTCACATATCACAAATACTTGTATACAAACGAGTGAAGTGACCTTTGTGGGTAAATTCCTTTTTTTTTTTTAATTTCATTTCTTTAATAGGACGTATATAAATGACCTATCTTTATATATTCAAATAGAATCAGATCAAGTAAAATTATTTTGGGATCTATCTGACAATGATCACGACGAACATAAAAATACAAACGGAGTAACGAAAGAAGATCTCCTTGCGATATTTAATCAAATTAAAAAAATTCTTAGCGAATGTTTTGAAGCGGTAGTGAGTGAAGTTACGCAGTTTATGCCGATGGAGAACGCGTTCGAATTGTTTGGATTTGATTTTTTGGTAGACGTCAATAAACAGGTTTATATATTGGAAGCTAATTCGGTGAGATTTTCTTCAATCCTCGTGTCCATGCAGTTTTTATTGTTATTAGTAACATAATTCTTGATGTTCATTTAGTTTCCAGATTTTAAGCAAACTGGTGATCGATTGTCACACGTAATTGCCAATTTGTTTAAAGAGACGGTTGAATTGGCGGTTGTACCTTTCTTTTCGGAGAATGTCGTAAAAGTAGATTCTAATGAAAAAAATGAGGACAGCAGATTTGTTCTAGTTTATGAAAGATAACATTAGATTTAAATCCTCGCTGCTAAGATTATTGTATTACTATTAATACATGATCAAAACCTTAGCAAATAATAAAATGATCTGGTGCATTCTTATTAAAGACACGAATTGGTCTTTGAACGAACTTTTGGTTTTATTTGCCAAAATAGAAAAATTAATAATATGACAAATTTTTCCCTTTAATGTTTTCATTTTTTATTGCTAGCGTCTTCTCTCACTCCTTCGATCCCTCGAATGAGATCTCGACCGATATCTATCAGAATAATCACGTCTGTCATAATCTCGGGGTCTGTCATGATCTCGGGAACGATCATAACTACTTTTATCAGGTTTCCGACGAGGGCTCAATGACCTAGATCGTCTTCGAGAATATGATGATCCTTTATCTAAATGCTCTTGGGACCTTTGTCTCGCTCTCCAATCCTCTCTATCATTGTTCCTTTCTCTTCTAGTATCCCGATCTTTCCTATCCCTATCCCTATATCTATCCCTATCTCTATCACCATCTTTATCCCTGTCCCTATCCCTATATCTGTCCCTATCTCTATCACTATCCCTATCCCTATCCCTATCCTTATCCCTATCCCTATCCCTATCTCTGTCCCTATCCCTATCCCTATCCCCATCTCTGTCCCTATCCCTATCCCTATCCCCATCTCTGTCCCTATCCCTATCCCTATCCCCATCTCTGTCCCTATCTCTATCTTTATCGTCTCTCTTACTTGAGGAATGCTTCCTTTCTTCCTCATCAAAAACCATTTTATAATGATTTTGGGGTGCAGTATCACCAGCACGATACTTTGTACGCTGTTCCAAAGTTTCAGAGCCACCGTAACCACCTGTATTCATTCTTTTATTTCTCGATAATAGCCAATCACTATGGATTTTCGCGACGGATTGCGAGAAATCAACTTTAATTCGTCGATCGTCAATTAAAACATTGTTCATTTTAAAATAAGCCGTCTCACAATCCTCCTGCTTATCAAATTCGATAAAAGCATAACACAACGAATCGCCAGTTTTCTTATCACGAATAATTTCACAGCTATTAATAGTTCCAAATCGTGAAAAGATCAACTCTAAATCCTCATCCTGTGTCACTGGATTAAGTTTACACACAAAGAGCACATTTTCTGGGGGTTTCACCTCGGCAAATGGAATGTCCCCAATCATTTCCAAGGTCAACGCTTGAGCAGCAGCCTCTTTTCTTCGTTGTTCTTTTTCCAACTCCTCAGGTGGAAGTTCTGGTTCAATGCTTTCGTCTTCTGCGATACGTATGGTTTCGAGCATTTCTTTGCTGGGTAACGGAGATTTGTCGGGGACCTCTAATCCTTCGGGATCGGGAAATGGATCCTCGAGCACTATTGTATGCTTGATCCGAATGTCTTTATAAGGCCTGCCCGTATCATCACAGTAGGCATTATTTATTGTTTCAAGAACATCAAATCCTTCGGCCACTTCACCAAACACAGTATACTTGCCATCAAGGTAATCAAGATTCTCGCCAGTCGTGATAAAGAACTGAGACCCACTAACACCACCACCTTCAACTCCTTCACTCGCAACAGCCATTGAAACTGTGCCGATATTTTTGTGCTTCAGTTTCGGGTGTATTTCCGCGGGAAAATATCGTTTCTGTGGACCATGAATAATCCCATATACCGATTCACCACCTTTTCCTGTTGCTGTTGGGTCTCCCGTCTGTACCATGAAATCTTTTTGTACGTTGTGAAAACAACAGAAATTGTAATATTTTATTTTACATAGTTTTAGAAAGTTGAGTGTTGTTCGCGGGCATTCATCCACATGAAGATCTATAACTAAGTCACCAACCGAAGTCTCTATTAGGACACTCACTATAGAAATGTGAAGAAATGCTTTGGTTAGTTCGTCTTTTAAATGCGAAGACTACAAAGAAACACGAGCTCGTATACTTTTTTATTGGATATATTGATCGACATCTAACTTTTTAGGTTTACAGATTGGTAAAAAAATCTTATGTTATCCATTTTCGATCGAATCGTTTATGCTAATTTTTTTGAATAACTCGAAATTAAAGATCGATATTTTTTTATCGTCTCCATAAATAGATTCAATTCCGAACAACTTTTCCAATTGCAAATTCCAAACTAGTAGTAAAGCCAGTGCAGAATATTGTGATAATTGTCAGAAGCAAATTGAAAAGTATCGAGAAGGACATGTCGAGGTTTCATGAGGAATATTTAAATAAATATTTTTTATTAATAAAAGTTATTTTATAAGAAAATATATTCAAAATCTTTTACAATTATAGAAAACCATAATTATAAAAAGATTTGATTATAATTATTTATTAATTCAAATTGAATAATTATAAAAAAGATAATTATAAAAAGTATATTTTAAAAAAATATAATTATAAAAAGTATATTTTAAAAAAATATAATTATAAAAAGTATATTTTAATTATAATTATTAAATAATTAAAAAAATTCAAATTAGTAATTATAAAAAATAAATATTTATGTTATTTAATAATTTTTTTATTAAAGATTATGATTTAAATTTGAGTCAAGAACAAGAAATTTTTAGTTATATATAATTAAATATATTACTTATATTAACAGATTTATTTATTATTAATATTTTTATTATTTTTAAAAGAGAATTTTAATTCTAATTTTTTTTTAAATTTAATAAAAAAAACTTTAAGCAATTAGCAATTTCATATCTGGATATGCTTATCAAGTATTATTTAATTATTTCTTATTAAATAAGATTATAAATATAAAATATAATTATATATTTTAATAATTATTCAATTATATAATTAAAAAAGAATCATCAACTTTTCAAGTTATTTTAACTATTATTAATAAATATTTAAAGAATAAATAACAAGTTTTATCTGAATTAATTAATATTTCACAAAGAATTTATAAAATTATTAATTTATTAATTAAAATAAATAAAAATCTTATTAATTAATCCAACAAAACTTTTATTTATTAAATTTGATTTTTTTATTATTTGATTAGTAAATATTTTAATTTAACTATTTTACAATATCAATATTATCTTATTGCAATAAAAAGAAAGATTTGACAAGAGCATATTAATATTAGATTCAATTCAAAAGTTTATTAAACCTTGACAAAATATATTGAAAAGATTTTATATAAGATTGAGAATCAATAAAGTTCTTATTATCAAGAAAGTAATCCAAACAAGAGAATTAAGAGAGAAATTAAAGAATAATTTTTCTTATTAATACTAGCATTATTTTTAATATTAGTTTTTATTATTTATGAATATTATTGATACTAGCAATAGTATTATTATTATTTTGATTTTGTTTAATAAACTTGTTAGGATTACATGAATTTATACATGATGAAGAATCTTAAACTTCATACTAAATAATTTTATCTATTATTAATAAATTGATCAAAGGAAATCAAGAATTTCTCGTAATATTAAACTACTCTTT